AAAAGCCACTGAATAGTTAAGTCTCCAGTACATTTTGGTCATATTAGAGATACATCCAAATGAATGGGTTTGTAGTTGAGGAACACCTTCCATATCATGGTAGGTAAACTTAACCTCTTCACAAAATTCTGCTGCAGACTTGCAAACTCCAGACTACAAAAACTCATCTTGGGGTCTCCTATTGTAATATAACTACCATTTAGAATGTTCCAGTGAAGCCTTGGCTTACCCTAGAATATCTTATTTTTCCTTCTTTTTAATTTTGACCTGAACTGCTTCAGTGGTGGACAACAGCAGAAGCAGTTAGCCACATCACTGCAGTTCTGTGTGGGGAAATCTTGATGTATAAAGACAGCATGAAAAACAAAAGTCCATCTCAAATTTATAACATCTCTCCTAGCCCAGTTAATAAGAAACTATAAACCTTCAGGTTTAAAAACAGAAACATTTTCAAATAACTCTAATAAGCTGTGTAGCCAACTGGCACAAAGGCCAAAAGCGGCTGCACCTAGATGCAAACAAACAAGCTGACTGGACACCTGGAGAAGCAGATGTATGGGGAAAATGTCTTGAGAGGTAAAAGAAGCATTTTATAACAGATTATTATGGCATAATCATCATGTGTGCTGAGAGAACAGTGCGTGGGTTATGTGTATATTAAGGAATGCTACTTTTAAGCCAAAGAAAGCACGTTTTAGATTTTTGAGTAAAAAAATCTTAATGCAATTATTGCATTTTTAAATTTCCTTATGCAGGACTGCTGCAGGTAATGCTGTCTAGCCTCTTTAGACCTCTAAGTTGCATACTTCAGAATGCTACACAATCACCGCAAACCTATTCCTGCTCCTTGTCTGCTTACAAAGCCAGATGGCAAAATAGAAGACTTAGAATAACTTACTTCCCTAACCAACAGCTTGAAACATTTCTGGCTAACACGACTGAAACCAGAAGTAACTTTATTTGAAAAAGAAAATCTATTCTTAATCAGCATCCCTACAAGGTGTAGGTTCGAGAACTGCAACACTGGACTGACATCTTCTATTCAACCCCTCAATCTTCCTCTCTTATTAACTTATTAGGCATAATGGCCCCAACAACCATAAAAACAGAGACGTGACACTGAAAATCTGTACCTTATTATTCCCCAGAGCCATCTTAGCACACTTACAGTTATGCCTAGTTAGCTCTCCATACAGTGAAAGATGCACTTGATGGAAATACTGGCAATCTCATAACATAAAGAAAACTTACATTTATATTTCGACCCAACAACTGTGCATCACTTCTTGATATCACATATCGACGGTGGTTTTGATAGAAGTTTTGCAGGCCATAGTACATAAAAACATCACCCTAGAATTCAAGGACAAATCTCTTCAGTAAAGTGAGTACATGTAGACAAAGACAAATCCTATTACTTGCTAAAAGAGAGGGAAAGGGAGTACTCAACTTATATTTAAGTGCTGGTAACTACACTCTAAGCAATTACTTCAGCGGGCATAGGCTAGAATCTAGTCTTTACTCCAACTGAAAGTTTCAGTATTTTGGCCCAAAATTAAACATACTTTAAATCACCACATGAAACCTAAAATAAAAATGCCCAATTATTATTTTACTCAAGATGGCATGGCTGGCCATGAACCTCCAATGACTATGGATAATTTTGTGGAGACAGTCATTTTCTGTAAAAGAAGGTGCACAAAACACTTCAAAGAGTAACCATTAGCTCTTAATTCCTTCAAACTTTTTGAAAATTAAGGCCTCTCATCAATCATTTGAACCCTTTTGAAAGTTTAGCCCTGTAATTAGAAGGAGAATGCTAGGCAAGAAACAATTAAGCTATAAAAAAACATTATTCAGTTAAATAAACGTCTCACTTCAAACATCACTGTAATCTGAAGAATGTATTACAGAGTACTTTAACAGCCTCTTCAATACTGAATAACCCTAAAATGACTTAATAATTTAAATTGCACTGTAATTTTAAGGGATCATTTATGCAGTACTAAGCATAAGATCTCTTTGGTGGCACAGGAAGCATTTTAACAGTCTCAGCAATATAACCTGGCAGTTCAGGACAGGAAACAAAGGATACTTTTCTCAAATGAAACTGCAGAATGGCATTGCTCAGCTTGCAACATTTCAAGGACCTTGAAGATTAGTAACATAACCTTTATAAAAAAAGACTACAGGAGTTTACTTAGGACAAGTGGTCAGAGCTCCACATTTCCTTCTCATTTGAGAACTTAGCAATGCAGTACCAACCAACCCCAGGCCAAGGGCAAAGGTTTGCTCCTGACTCAAAGAAAGAGATGCAGTCACCACCACAATCAAACACCATTTACTCCACCCCCATCTTCACCTTGGACATCTCCTGGCCAAGGACAGAGGTAGTCTGATCTTGATTATTTTTAATATGAACCAAAATGAAGAGCAAAGGCAAAAGTTTAAAATTTTGAGTATTTACCATTTATAAAAAGCATACAAAAAATTTAGTCAGGAGCTCTACACAGCAGACAGAATTAGGATTTTTATTGTATAGGGATGTAAGTTACAGGAGGTACTAAGCAGCTTGAGTTGGTTTCTTGCATCCACTTACCAATATATCTTCCTTTAGCGTGAAATTAACAGAACAGTGGCATTCCTTATTCCAATTAGAGGAATTTTCACGGAGTTTTGAACAATCTGAGCATTTATCTGAATAATCAATCTGTCAGAGAAGTGAACAAGCAGAGATACTGTAAGAAAGGACAAGCACACAGGAAAAGGTTAGTGTTTTAGTACCAAGATTTCTCAGAGCAGTTTTCGTCTAAGTGAATCCGGACTGCCAAAAAGATTGTTAAAATTTGACAGAGACAGAGAATCAGGACTTGGCCTCAATGAACGTTCACGAATTTTATTCCTACTTTAAAGCTGCTTGACAGTTTTTTGATGACTGTTGCAGAACCTTCACATCTGCTCCTCGGCAAAGGCATGCTGAGTGAAGAATACTTCTGCAGCTTGGTCTGGCTGACCAAGAAACACTCAACAAATTCCCAAATGTGTTATGGCCCACCCCTCTGGAACAACCTTAATGTAATGCAGAGCATTGGCTCCAGCCAGGAATCTATTACTACTGCCACACATCTAACCAACCTTGCCTTCAGGAAGCATTTAAACAGCAGGGCTCCCTGCATTTTAAGATTTTGCCCCAGCAAACATATAAGTTCTTCTAGTACCAAACACTATCAAAGGAATTAGTTTATTTCCCTTCAAAAACCCAGGAAATAATGAAAGCATTTCACATATAACTAGCCAGTGGCAGTAATTACCACCCATATTTCAGATATTACCACCCAGTTAAGCACCCAGTGCTCAGTTTTTATCAGTGACCAACTATGTCTGAGGATTTTCACAGGAATGCTGGCTGCTGGACACATGTCCATGCCATGAAGCCATTACTATCACCTTTATCCAGAAGCAAAAATTCAAAGCCTCTTCCCTCCAAACATAGCCCAATTTCTTCTTCATAGAATATCTGAGAGCACCACCCTCAAACAAACCTGTACTTCTCTGACACTGTTTGCAGACAGTATAAGGCAGATTCCCACAGAAAGGCAGAACGCGCCTGTGAGGAAGAAGCTGGAGAGCACGGTTGCGATGTTAAGCTGGGGCTTCCATGCTGGTAGCTTCTGCTGTTTGAATGCACTGTTATCCGGACATCTGGAGGAATGCGCCTCTCCTTCTTGCAGAAGAAAACTTGTATTGTTTTTCATTTTCCTCTTGGTGAGAGGAAGGAATAATATACCTGTGCTGGAAAGTGTTTAAGCCGAGATACTGTCCTTACAGTTGGGAGACTGTATTGTTTGTTCAAACCTGCGTTATGGCCAGGAATTACTTATTAACTAGATCTCTCTCTTCCTCATTTCCTACATTTGTACTTGGATCCTTATAATCACCTTGTACCAATCAAACAATTGTGTACTTTGGTCAAGGTGTCCATATGCTTTTTCCTGCCCCATAATTCAGAAGGATTTTTTGTGTTTTGTTAATTTATTGCATTCATACTGCAAACTAGACTGGAATTTCTGTGTATTTCTTCTCCCTTCACTTCCATAGCTGCCCAGGTAATAGGCATGGCATACAACAAAAGGAGCTCTGCTCCAGTTGTGCTGGATGACACTGAGAGGACTGCAGGTGCTGAGACAGCACTTGACAGAAAACGACGCTATAGAAGACCAAATCAGTTTTCTTTACTACATTCATTGCGATTGATTCAGACACAAAGGCTATGTGTTCTTTATCACAAAAGGGCAACTAATTCTCAAAAGATGCTGATGATTCTATTCATCTTGTCCTCTGAAAAAAAATGCATCCATTCCCTATTATGCACAATAACAAAAGAATCACCCAGAGATCATCTTCGTTTAATTCAAACAGACAAACAGAAGAATATTTTTTTGCACACTCCAATAGTTTAACCAAAATAGAGTCTCAATATAATATACAGATAATTTATCATGTAATAGCAAAAAATAGCATTTGGCCAACTCTAGAACAGAGAGGTTAAAAATATCTTTTTAAAAAATTACTGAAATTCATACAGCATTTTCAACCTCGAGGGCAAGAACTAAATTACCTCTCTTGTGAGAGAAGTAAATTCTCCTTTGAGACAGCAGAGGGAGATAACAGAGAACTGAGTTGGACAAAGACTTTCACATCCAAGTTTGCTCATCTTCAAAGTTTTAAAATAGAGTAGTAAATCTAGCTGGTGAATGCAATGTAACTCTAATTTCAGTATCACATTGTTCCTGCAATAAAAATTCTACTAAAAATACAAACAAAACGTATTTTATTAAAAGACAATGAAACTCAGAAAAAGTTTCAACATGCTTTTTTTCTGTATTGATAGGCCTCTGAAAAGTCAAAATCATTGATCCATCGCCTGCTAATCACTTGCCAATTGTAGACAGGATAACAGTAAAATGCAGCTGCAAATTACTTCCCTGTTGGTGAAATGGTTAGAAGAGTCCCAGCTTCAGAGACCCTTCTCTGCACAGCTTTATAATACTCATCTCCAGTAGGTCAGTTGTTTCTTTCTTTATCTGAAGAAAAAAAAATAAAAAAAGCATCTAAAGTTACTCATAGTGCTTTGGCTAAATACCGTTACTTATTTACTCAGACACCTTACTATGGGAATAGAAGTTAAAGAAGAGGTTCACATACAAGGTCCTGAGCTCTAGAATATTTTCATTTTGTAAAATATCTAGCATTTGCTATGCAATCCTGAAGTGCAGTTATGGCTTGTGAAGTCCCATCTAAGAGGGCTACAGAAAAGTTGTCACTGGTATAGAGCTGAAAAAGCATATGCCACAGCAAGAGGTCCATCCGGGGCTGCAAAATTCCTATGGGACTTTCCAGAGTACCAACTGGTATTAAGTTGTCCAAGGGCAGTACTGCATTTCAACAGCCACAATGTCATCTGTGCCTGAGACCTGCAGGGAAGCGAGCATGAAGGTCAGGTCTATGTGTGCTGCATGCAAAGTACTTTGGTTTATAACAAGGATGTGGCTGTAGTTTCTTGCTTATCTAAAGATAAAAGACAAAGGTAATCTAGAGTAAATATTGACTACATATTTCAGCAAGAACACAAGATTCTCTCACAGCTTCCTTATAGCTCTCTCTTCCCACTTACAAATAACTTATTTTCAAGTTTTCTCTCAGGGTTATAGCCTTCTGTGCCTTCCCTCTTGCACAGGAATAAATGATGTGAGAAAGCCTGAGTAATCTTTGTTTCACATTGGATGTGCTATGTGAAGGTGAAAGTAGTTGTCTTTCTAAATCACAAGTTCATTTCTTAAAAACTATTTTTACTTTCATGAAGCCTGAAATTCAAACTTTCTGTATTTTCAAACTTACTCAAGGCTCAGTGTTTGCATTGTTTGTAGACAACACAATATTGTTTTTTTTTAAAAAAAACCCATTGAATCTAACAAACATGTAATCTGGGGAGTTAAGACAGCTCTGTATTGCCATCAACCCCTATATACAAAGCTTTCAAAGCAGGAAGGCAGTCCTTTGGTCACATTATACAACCAATTTTTATTTAAACCTTTATGCTTTGGTCTAACTCCAAAGTGCCAAGATAAAGTCTGATAAACTCATTCACCTCACCTCTGGTTTCTTTGTGAGTTTCCTTTTTATTTCCTTCTCTCCACTGTTTGGGATGAATGAAGTGGGAGACACAGAAACAGAGAAAAAAAAACCCAACAGCATTAACTAATGAGATGTTGAGGCAACTGAGCGAGCGGTGGATCCGGGCACCATCCATTATGTGGGTATGATGGGATACAGGGCTGTCACGTGGGAAGACTCATGCGTTTTGAAATTCATATACTTATCAGAATATACCACTGGGTACATAATTCTCCACTGAACATCAGGTTAATACAAAAACAGCAAGTAGAAAGGACACGTGGTTCCAGCTGTTCTTGCTCTCTGGTGTAATTACAATGACATTCAGCAACGTGGTACCTTAAATATGCAAAGAAATTATTGACAATTGAGGTTTGCACTGAAAACAGGTCAGTATGCCTTGTTTCTGATTTTATGGGCACAATTTTGCGTCCACAACTAATACGGGATGAAAGAAATCAGTACATCAAACTGACAAGTCTCTAAATTATATTTTTGGTTCTATAATTCCTTTCTTGAGAAAACTTATGACTATTTATAGCATGTATTTGACAATTTTTATACAAGTAGAAGAGTAAGATCCTCTGCTCACTAAGACTCTATTCCATATTTCAAGTCTGCAAGTTGCCAAAACATCCCATTGGTTTCTACTGTTTTAAGATGCCTTATCTTCAAACCACTACTTGGGTATCTTTTATTGCTGACATTCCTTACAAATAACTTTCAGGAACCTGCCTGATGTCTGCAGCTGGACAAATAGCTGCAAGATGCTCCCATTATATAGCTTAAAATAATTTTCTGTGTGTTATGTTACCTGAATAAAGTGCAGGTTTGAAGATTTCTCTGTAATCACATATTCACTATTCTGCAATCACACATAAATATCTATTCCTTATACTAACACTATACATGAGGGTGTAACATTCTTACTTACTTGGTTTTAACTTGAACTAAGTCATAAGATTTGTTGTTAAGATAACCTTATCATTTTGCCTTAATAAAATGCATCTGGAGTCACAATTTTAGGCCTGTATTCCTAGACAGACATGCAGAAATACTGTGATGCTACCAATAGTGAGCTGAAAGGGACAGTTCAGGTTTGCAATGGCCCAAAATCAATAGCAACATAATCTTAATTTTTTTTCAGGTGGATCACCTATACTCTACTGTATGTATATTCACTTCAGTTGACTTAAAAAAACCGTCAAACCACAACCAGGACCTTTTGTACTGCTGTGTCTGTGAATTGCTGTTGTCTGTTCTTTAAAAAACTTACAGGTAAGTGCAAGCACATCTATAAAAAAGCTTTATGCGTTTACCACAAGAGGGAGCCTCCTTGCCTCAAAAAGCAAAGCTGTTTTTTTTAGTTATGTCATTTCTGCAATGTAATTTTCTGTGGGGTGCTTTATCCAAGATGATTAGGAATGTGGATCTTTGTGTATGTGGGACTGTAAAATACAGCATATTCAAATACATAGACAAGTTCAGAGAAGGATTAATGACTGATAATTCAGCTCACTTGTACAAAACAGCTTAGTTTCTATATGCAAAATAGTCCTTTTGCCCTGGAGATTCCACATATCGGCCTGCTAATAGGGAATTATCTAAAAAGGAGTCTACAAATGATGGATGGCTCTACACAGTTTGTATCCTACCTCTTGTCAAAAAAAAAAAAAAAAAAGAAAGAAAGAGAACAGTCTGTAGACTGACTCACAAGAAGTTATCTTACTCTCAGATGAAGACAAATAAATGCTTCTCCAAAGTTTTATTTAGTTTTTGAGGAAACCTTTGCACAACATCCTCTTAACTGAGAGAACCTTCTGGGAACAGGCAGAACAACTATCTAGCATAAACAGGAGAAATTAACAGCACACTGTAGAAGTCACAGCTGTGACTTGCAACAAAAAGGAAAAAGTCTTCCTCAGGAGGTAATTCTGAGACCTAAGAGTACAGACATAATAGTGAAATGTTAACTTATTTGTGTTTCTAGACCACTGAAGTCAGCTTTACAGAAAGAAAACCTTACTGACCAAGATCTGTGCACTAGAATCAAAAGTAATGACTACACGGAATATAATATATACAGGTGCTTATACAATACCTCAGGGATATCCATCATTCTCCTTAGTTTCTGATCTCTCCAGTTCCAATCCAGAATCATGTATTTTGTGGAGTTCAAGCACAGGCCATCTAAAAAGGCAACAGAATTTTTACTACCAAGATAACAGGACATGCGCTTACCAAATCATTTTTGGCTTTTGCATCCTTTGCTATCTGTTTCCAGGGAAACTAATCTTTGAACACTTAAGTACCAGATTTGCTGGTTGGAAAACTAATGCATTGACACTACAGACTCCCTTAACCACATAATCGCGTATCTTTCTGGAAGATAAACACAAAAGCAGAAAAACTACTGTTCCCAGGCTTGTCAAGAGCTAACATCCTGCCAGAACGTAATTCCTCAAGCTTTCTCTTGATGAAACTGTAGGAGTTGAATTTCCACAGCTGATGAGGAGCTGGTAAACCACAAGGACTCCAGTTTGAAAACTCCTCTTAATGGGAACTGACAGTGTTTAGCAATTTTCAGGAGTGAGTGCTATGTGAAAGTGAGTCAGGTCAGTGGTGCTGCTGAAGAATTCTTCTATCCTCTGAATAAACACTGATGAAAGAAGAAAAATGTCCTTTCTAAACTGGCCCTACAAGCTGTTGCCCTGTTTTTCCCTGGTCTTGATGATGCCCACAATTTGTCACATCAGTTTTGACTCCTCTCTATTCTCTAGTGACCTGGGACAGCAACATTAAGGTGTCAAAAAAGGATTAGACCTTGGGATAAAACGATACACTTGGTGTCCCTGCCATAAGCTGTCTCCATCTAACATGTCAGTGTGCTGATGTACTGAGCAGTAAGGATTTAATGTTGGTGAAGGGCACAGGAAGCAACAAAATTATGCTACTCCTGTACCCTTTTGGAAGGAGTGGTACAGTGCCAATCCACAGCCAGTCCCTGACCAAGAATCTGTCAGATAAAGGCAGTGGTTAGAAAGAGGAACAGAATCACCTTACTACCTTGTCATTTTGTTGTTTTTCTTTGTGTACATAATGTCTGTTGAGTAAGTAAAAGTACTCAAAATTGGGGCAAAGGAGATTTATATAGAATAATTTATTTTATTACAGGCAAAACAGAAATCAAATCAAATCAGCAAGCAGAGCAGATCTTTTGTCCACTCCTCACGAAAGTTTACTCTGAGCTCAGAGTGACATATGATACAGTAACTTCTGCCATAATTTCCTTTTGATTTAGTTGCAGTGTTTGGTTTCCTGGAGCTTTAAATCCTACACTACTATTTTGCAATCACTTTGTAGTCAGCATAAATCAGTATTCCTGTCAAAAGAGGAAGTCCTCCACCTCAGCCTGCTCATTACCTGATTTTGTGTGCTCCCTGGTTTTGTTTTAATTTGAATTAGTTCTAATGGGGATCAGTTCACTGAGCTGCCAAACAGACTCTTGGGCTAGCACAGAAAGCAAAAAAAAGAGAATAAGCAGGCACTGACTGGGTGGGGGAGAAAGTATTACTCTGCCTTTCTCTGGTATTACTGATTTATAGTGATATAAAGCCCAAAGTGATCATAAAACCACTGGAATCTTGACCTCATTTTGACTGACACAGCAGAAGTGGAGAAACAGAACTGCAAAATTTAGTACCCAAATCCACAGATTCATGTCAACCTAAGCACTTCAAAAACCATTGAAGACTCGCTTCTCATGAGACCAAGTATAAGATACTTATGGAAGAAACCCTCCTTCTTCTACTACCTTGCTCCACCAGCGCTTTTACTCTCCCAGGAGTTCCAACACCGATGTGGAATACACCTTTCTCCAACATATTAATCTGTTCTTTTATCTTTGAAGAGAGAAAGACAAACCACAGTAAAACTACTATTGTTTTAAAATTTCTTTGCAAAGAGCTAGAAATAAATTCCAGATCTCTTAGTGTCTCCTTCTAGAATAACACCAAGTAACAAATGCTATTCATCTTTCAAACTGTCAAACTGATATATCTGGGAGAAAGTTTAAGAAATGTAACAGTCAGCTGGGCATCACACTTCTCTAGACGTTCAGTAATTTTCAACTTTGAAAATCTGCTATTTCACCAACTATTTTTGGAGGTGAGAACAGTATGTTTCCTTCAGAATTTAAACAAATTCTCAGGAAATATCTGGAAAACAGACCAAGTTGAATTAGCTCTTAACTCCTTTAAAATGAAGACACTTGAAAATGGTGAAATAAAGCAAATGACACTTGCATGTTTGACAGCATTTCTATTAAAGGTCAATTTTCTGCTTATTAGTTTCTGTATCCTCATAATGTGTGCTCTCCTGCAGAATGCATATGTGGGTGCTGGTACAGCTTGCTTTTTCTACAAATGTATGTGCATGAGCCTTCTATCTAAACAGGCAAAAGCCATTTGAATAAGCACCTCACAGGAATGTGGAACATCTTTAAACACAGCACATGCATAAGCATCTACATTCTGCATAGGACTGCACCAGAGCTATTGGAGGTGGTGTTTGTCTAGATTCCTCAAACTGCAACAGTGGGTTACCATAGGAAGCATTACCTAAAGAAAGAAACATCACATGAATACTACATGAAAGGCACTATTGTTAAATGCTTTAAAAAGAAATTATATGACACTAGTTAGTTGTTTATAGTTTTGCTATCAAAATTTCCTTGCAGCTTTCTTACCTTTATGTGCTTTGCAAACAACTTGAGAACTCTGCAGTCTCCTTTAAATGCTGTCATTGACCTGGCAATGAAAAATTTGAAAAAGAAAATGCAAGCATCAGGGCTGGGATTAAGACCACACAGGAGGAAAGCAAAACTAACTGGCACTTCTCGATATACTTCAGACACAGTCCCTCAGTGACACCTGCTTGTACTTTGAACAGTATGTACATTTTTATTTGCTACTTGATCAAAAACCAGACAAACACAATAGAAGATATCAGTAGGGGGCAATATTGTTTAGGTAGCTTTTCAGATAATATTTAACAATTACGGCCTGTGCTTTCACATCTAACAGTTCAAAACTGACTAATCACCAAAGTCCAATTAAAAAAATACCTCAGTTACTGAGACACAGGCATGAATGAACATGCATGTATGTGCACAAAACAAAATATGTGTGTGGCTGTTGGGAAAACCTAGGCTGCCACAGTTTTTACTACAGAGATTGCCCAAATTCCAGGTAACCATTTTAACTTTTCAGAAAACCTGACTTTTTTTTTCCAACACTCCATTTTGGCACATGGTAACAACTGTATGTTCCGTACTAATTAAGCAGGAAACAACATATCCAGTGACTGAATGTCATTTAAGACAACTTTCTCTGCGTGTTTTTCACAGTGTGCCAAATTTTCAGTTTTCTCTTGTGCAAAGCTAAGGGTTTATATGCAAGTATATATATAAACTGCCTAAGCCTCAGATGGTGGTATCTGCATGCAGGGGCTAAGCACTACTGGCACTTCTACTGCATCCATGCTTCTATCTGTGGCATGGAGTCAAACTTCCCAATTCTCCACCTCATGTGGTACTGACAGATAATCACAGGAAATGGGACCCAGACAAAAAAGACAACCCTGAAATTTGTGAGGTATACATTAATTCATCAACGTCTTCACTACTTCTGGGTTAAGAAGGGAAAGGATAGAGAAGGGGGGGGGGGAAAGAGGACAGAGAACAATGAAAATCATCATCTCTGCACCACAGTTCGGTCAGTCTGAGCCAGCTGAGAACAGACACAGATGGGGAGGCACTTAGGTGAGATGCACATGTTGGCACTTGAGGCCCTGGAATGCCATGTCCTCATTGCCTTTGGTGCAAAGTCAGGATTTCTAGTGGTGGCTCATTACGCCTTATGGGTTTACCCTGTTCCCAAGTATAACGTGTTGCATGTTTCCCTCAAATTGGTTACACTTTATTTTTGAATTACTTCCATGCAACTGAAGTACTAAGTGTTACTTCAATGTAAAACCAAACACTACGCTCTCCCAGTTTAAAGAAGCAAGGGATATTCCATCAGTTTGAGTCACTAAAGTTTCTGGCTAGCAGTGGACAGTGTCCCAGTTTTGCCTTTATGTCTGTGGTTCCAAGACAAAACCTCTGACTGACTGCCAACCTCAACATAACATTTGCTATTGACATACTTGATGAGTTCCAAGGAACGAAGGGCAGAACTGCAGATAACCAGCATCACCACGGACTTCTTCTCCTTGTGGTTTTTACGGAGTTTTGCCCACTTAGGACAGACTGCAATGAAAAAGCTCATTTACACACAAAGTACTCTGTGCCACAATTTTAAGTTACAAGAGTACATGACGAATAGGAGCCAGCAGCCAGAACACGCATGCTGAAACCTATCAGGTCTGGATCTCTGGCAACACTTTTACATTTAGTCATGGCTGAGAAATTGGAAAATAAAATGACCAAAAAAAATAAAATACAGAAATATCACATAACCGAACTATTTAGATAAGCTTTAAAAATAGTTTGTAAGGTGACAAGCCCATTGTCTTCACTTGTAACATATGGCAATTTGTATCAGAGAAAACCAACTGAAAATGAAAATTTACCAGACTGTAAGTTCTCTATAAATACACAAGAGAACAAAAATTCTTTTGGTTCATGTCAGCAGACAGCTGCAGTATTTTACTGTATGATAATACATATGCCTACTTATGAAGCCACAATAAATTACTGACAAATAATCCCTAGCAATTAAAAGAAACCCTAGAAAATTTTGATACAAAAAGGTGATAGAGTAAAAAAGACCCAGAAAAACAAGACCTGTCAGGAAAAAAAGCCCCTTAAATTTATTAATATAGCTTCATAAGTAAAAACATTTGGAGATGCAGATAAAAACTGCAATAGCAATGCATTAACAATGTTTTTCATACAACTTCCATCTTATTGAGACCAACATTTTAACTCACTTTCCTTCAGGTATGAAGAAAAGCTGTGAGTGAGATCATTGGCTGGCAAAAAACAGGAATCTGAAAACATAAAGGAAAAAATATTTTTGTTGATGCATTTTTAACAACAAAAGGAGCATATATGTTTGCAGCATAACCATTACTTACGCTGATGAAATCACAACTGTGTTAAAAATCCATCATCAATTAATGACCACCCACGAAACAAAGATTAATGTACATCTCATGTACAAGAAGCTTTATATTGGATGAATCAATGAAGGTAAAATCTCTCAACTCAGTAGCAATTCCTTTCTTTTCTCTCACCATGAAACCCTGAATACAGGGCTGCACATGTGTGATCACATACATTAAAAAAAAAAATTCCTGTTTTTGCTGCAACTTTTGGTCTTAGCCGAAAGCCCCACAGTCAACCTGCCTGACTGTTCCTCCAATCCACCTACAATGGAATACATTTGTAGGTTACCCAAACAATTCATATTGTGCAAATGCAAGAACCTACCAATAATATACCTGTCAATAATCTTGTTCCTCTTTCTGGCCTTTCATACTGTGGTAATCTACCTGAGTATATTAACCCTAATGGCAAAACCTATGCTGCATTTTAATACCTTCCTCTTCCTTCATTTCCCACTGACTGCCTATCTTTTACCTAATCACTATGTTAACTATTAAGTCTTAAAAGCACTCTGTGGCAGACATACCATTTAAGTTTAAGCTTCATATAGAGGCAATGAAGGAAGAGACGGTCCTAACAAGTTCTTTGGAAGGCCTTTCCTTTCTCCAGTGTCTATACAGAAAGTAAGTTCTTAAAACTGTTACTAAAATTAGACAGTCTGAAAACTGGCTATTGCTGTTAAGGGTCCTTTGTCTGATGGAACAATACTGCTCCTGCAGAGCATCAACAACTCTGTCTTCAGGGTTCTGCACATTTTTTGTCATTCTGCATGAGGCACAGCACCTCAGAGTGCCTATCTAAGGAACGAGATGTTTGCTGACATATTTTAACTAAATGAAGGAGGTGTCCTTAGAGACATTATTCATGTTCACATGGATGATGCATTGTACTGATAATGGCAGCATCAACTCATGACTTCTATTGGAACAGACACTGTTGCAAACATGGTTTGCAGCTGATGCCTGGCTGAAGTCCTGCCCGTGCAGTTTCTTGAGCATAGCTACTCTTCATCACTGTACCTTCCATTTAATGGGTAATGTCTTGCTAAATATTTTGATTTTGCACTGATCCCTTTTGTTAAATAGAGATTGGCATTTACTGGGACTTGAGCTCCAAAGGGAATACATGTGTACAGCTGAAGGATCAGCAACCTGATGTACTTTTAAAATCATGTTTCAAAGATGCACTTGACACTGGCGGGGAAGGGCAGGGGCTGCCCTTCCTGACAGAAGGTGGTAATAGGGGAGCTCTTCAAATCCACTATGGACCTCTCTTCTCAGTGTTAAATATCTTTGCTGTTGTTTTGCAGTTCTGAATACATGAAGTCTAATTAAAGACTGAACAATTCAAAAGATGGTTTATAAAGGACACGTGCTTCAGTCATTGACCTTTCACAACAGTCCAACAGTGAAATATTTACGATTTTAAATGAAAGTTTCAGAAAGAGGGGGAAAAACACATAGCTCCAGACTGCAAGAGACCATGCTGACTACAAACCTGACTTTCTGCACTATGTCAGTAAACAAGAACGCACAGCTCCAAGTAGTTTCTTGTTATTTGCCCAGAGCTTTGACATGAATGACTTGACAGCTGTAGAAGTTTATAAACTCCTTGGCACTCTAAGCCTCCAACTCCCAGCACAAAACGAAAGAAAAAATATCTCCATCCAACCCAAGAGCCAACCCATTTCCAATCCATATGGAAATGGATCACTCCAACAGCCCAAAGGGCTCTTTTAGTAAGAAAGAAACCAAAGCAATTTATTATTTGCTGAAAACCCTAAATGTTTAAAAATATTTAACACGAGCTGTTCAAAGCAATCTATATGGGACTTCTCCAGGTATTTTTGATTGAACAAGAAAGCTAAACCTTCCCCATAGAAATAAAGAAGGGTCAAGCTAGAATTATGAATGTTGAGGAGAGGCATATTTATCTTAAAAAAACAGGCTTAAACACTAAAAGAGAAAACCCACTGCTGGACTAGAAGGCTCCTATATTGGCCACAACTCACTAAGTGTTCAAGAAGTACCAAAGGTGTATGCAGGTTAGTTACCAGTCCGTTCGCTCTTCTTGAGCAGTATCAACAAATAATGGACAGTGCCTATAAAATGACAATGTCTCTTTATCTGCAGAGTAAGAGGAAAAGAAGTCCAACGCTGCCTTCATCTCTAATGCAAACTCCAACTGACAGAAGCAAACCCTGCTCTGTCTTGCTTTGCTTTTTCTCTCACTGGCTTTTAATTGGAGACAGAACACAGGAACCCAAGAGGGTCCTCGTCATGGTTAAAACTTGGTCACTTTATACTTGGACCAAAACTACCATCTCATTTCATGCTAATTCCTGAAAAACAAATTGCGTTCAACATCTCACAACCATGTCAGAGTGATGTCTCATTACCTGTCTACTCCTGTCAGCCTTACTATTACGCACCTGGATCGACTCAGATAATCCCAGAAACAAAATACATTTTCACTTTCAGAGTCAGCATCTTGAAAGCTGCTATTAGGAATTGTACCATTTCTATTAGAAAAGTGAGCTCCTGAAATTATTACTTTACAATAAAAGGACACATCTATACAATGTTTCTTTTCATTTCCAAAACTCCAAGAAACCTCTCATTCATTCCAAAGAAACTAACATTTCTACCTAAACCGCAAATTAATACACAGTATAAGAAAAAGTTCTATTAAAAAGTACAACTCAAAACCTGCCCCCAAAATCCTCTTTCTTTTGCAGAAAAAGAACTCAACAGTATAATGGAAAAAAAAATCTTTATCTATTAAATATAGGATGTTACCTGACAGCTTTAATTCTTCTATTTCAATCACTGAACGGTTTTCACCAAAATGTTGACTAAGCAGATTTTGTAGATCTGCGGGAACACCAGGTTTTGGAGTGGATTTTTCCAGAATAGCCGAAATTTTCTTCTAAAAAACCAAGTGAAAAGGGTAAGTATGGCATTTTAATAATTTCTGTTCTTTGGCTAGCTAACAGCACTGTAAATAAATGTTCCTCCATAATTTTTTACATTAGATTAGCTTAATAACAGCTTAATTAAAAAAAACCAAACAAAACCCATCAATTTACAATGGGAAAAGATTCCCATTGTCTTTTGTGGGAATGCAGACTTCAGATACAAGTTCAGATACTTTGAGGAGATGATCTGTGAGTCTGAAGACAAGAAATCTTGTGCACTCATGTGAAATGCTGCCTTAACAAAAACACAACTGAAAGCTGGTTTCATGAGTTTCGCTTTGTTACACTTATCAGTCTGAAAATTCAGGGGTTTTTTCATCATTTGCTTTAATTTATTATTCTTAAAGCGTAACTACAGAAATCAAGTTATTACATAAGTCTTGGTTATATTTTGATTAAAACAGGGTAGCTATCTATTTTGGAAGGAAAGATGGTTAACTATATTCGCAGAGTACCATGTGATGAAAACAAGCTAAAAGCTCACAAAACCAGAAGTCAAGTAGAAGTAGGTCAGCAGCTGCTTTGTTCTTCCAAAATGTATAATTCTTTAAACCAAACTGGTAATTTTTGGAGCCTGGACATGAGTTCATGATTGGTTTTTTACACCTTAGGAATATCAGCAATTAAAAGTTCTGAACTTTAATTGAAATGAAAGTGTTGCTGTAATTTTTCCCATAATTAAATGGATCATTGGGGTAGAATAGTCCAGGGTTCCCATTAGCTGAATGATCTGCCAGCATTTAAGAAAACAACAGATTTTCAAGTACAGAGGCAGCCTGGAGAGTATAGCAAGAATGTGAAACCTCTCTTGATCTCACTGAGAAGTGATTCACTTGTGAAAAGCCAGCTCAAAGTTTCTCAGCTGCGTAAGCTAAACTGACTTGCCATCATGAGGATGCATGGCAGCATAAGGAGCAGGAGAGTGTGGTTAGGACGGAGCAATAGGCTGCTTATCTGCAAGGCAAAGTGAGATTTCACAGAGAGATGAGGTGGACCTGGAAACATTTTTGGCAGCTTTGGAGGGTTGGTGTGTACCTTCAGTGCAATTTTGACAGGCAAGGTCTGGGGGCAGCAAAGATCAACGGAAATTTTAAAGAGAGGTATAGCAGGAATTTTAACGTAGGGCACAGATCTTTTTCCATCCCTTTTCCTCTCACTTCATCCCAGCAACCAATCCCTCCCTCTCTTCCATTCCCCACCGGTCTCCAAATATGCCAAAAACAGCAGCATAAGGGGCAGAAGGCTGAACAGGAAAGAGCCATATTGGGGCTGCAGAAGCCACTCTACCCTACCCAAAGGCATAGTAGGCAGCTGCCTCTCCTAGTCATCTGCTACTTTGGCCACTGACTGTTTCACCTCTGCTAAAAGCCAGCTGTGTGTCTGCAAGACCCCAGCTGAATCTTTGACACTGGGATATGTGCAGATTAAGTGCTTATGCCTTCTTCTGCCTGCCTTCGGCCTTGTGCAAAGCCCTCTGCAGTCCTTGGAAGACTTCTCCAGTGGATATCTGAGTGTTTGGCAGGTTTTTGCAGTGCCTAAACCTGTAGCATTACTTCAGAAGATTCATCCTCATTTGGCATTGTTGTATTTTTCTGCTGTGCAACAACTATCTTCCCAAAGAATGACCAGAGGCCATTTGCAGCACACACAGCATTTGCATGAGGCCCACAGCTGAACGTCTTCATTGCTCTTCCTATCAACCATGAATGCTTTTCTGTAGCTCCAGCCCCACAACCGGCATCTAAAGAGACCCACATTTGGGAATCTCCAATTTAGCAGACAGCAAGACAGAACTATCATGCTTATTTTACTTGGTAACTCAAAGTAAGGTGTCATTCCACAGCACCATTACATCATCTGTTGGACCACTTGGTTCCTTCAGGAATTTTATGTCACTCTGGAGGGGAGAAGCCTGATACTAAGAAGAAATTCTGTAAGAGCAAGAGCAAGGGCACCCGAGCAAATGCTCTTCCTTCAGGGAGAGCTGTGGGGAACAGTTCCTCATGCAAGAAGTTTTACTATTTTTGTTCCAATTCATTCCAGATGCTCACAAGCAAAGGGGTTCTTCCTCCCCTCCCTTTTCCTTATTTTTAGAGAGAGTACATTGTTTGGATCCCATAGATCAAACTGATAAATATTTCCTGATGGATTTTTTGACAGGTTGTGTATGTCAACTTAGTGGCCTAGACCCACTGAAACCAAAGGTATAACTAAGCACCTATTGTTTGCCTGAGAGCAGAGTCTTTTTGTTAGGTCTATTTCATCAGTCTGTGGTGGGATGCTTTCCTCCAGCAGCAGTAGAATAAGTTCCATGGTCACTTCTACCAGAGCTGCATTTAAAGCAAAATTCTTCTCTTCCCTCTTCCCATTCCTTGGATGATTAAGAGGCCTGACATAATATAAAAAGGTCACCTTTCAGCCTTGTGAGGTAGCCAACTATTTACAGTCTGTCCCAAAAGACAATTAACTTGCCTGGTGATATACAATTTCCATCTAGACAGCTGAATGTGTTTCTTGGGTGAAGATGAGTGTGAGGATGGAATACAGCCAGAGGGACAACACAGAGAATTTATTTATATACTTATGCTATGAAAAGAAGAGCAAACAAGGACAGTTCTTAGTTCAAAGGACATAACAGCAGCTGGGGCTTGACCACTCCGATGAAATGGGGCAGATTCTGCCACAACTGAAATTTCACCTTTCTTTGATGCAGTTATGTTTTCCTGGTGTGCAACACCTGCAAGTGGGGTGTAGACATACAAAACCCTTGAGCGGAGTACAGACACAACGTCACAGTTCAGGTTGGGAATGGGTATTTTGAGTGAAGTAAAAAAAGTAGGAATTTCTGCTCATGTCTAAAAGAGACTGCAGCATTATGACCACATTATTTCTCATCACCACAGGATTGTCCCAACACTGAGTTTTGCAATAGCACATACACCCACTGCCCAGTCTCCAGACACACTCTAGGACGTTCATACCTTCTTTCTCCTCTTTGCCTTTACAGTGCTCTCTTGTTTTTCTTCAGGCTGACTTAGAAAACACTCTGTAGGCTGCAAAGCACATATTATTAAAAAAAGTAAGAAAAAGAGATCTAACATAAGGTATTTGATCACCTGGAAGAAAAATAAACCTCACCAAAGGGAGGTAAGAGGGGATACATAAGGTGAAATGCTGGGCTAGGGAAAAACAAACAAAACTACCTGTAGAAGGGATCAAATTCTTACAGTTACATGTATCTGAAGTAATTTTGGAATTGTGATCCGTGTTGTTGCAATCAAGAGGGCAATAAAAGAACAGAAAATTGAAACATAAAGGTTGTAGTCACAATTTCATAAAATGATGGAAAGCAGGTTTCTGATACATTGAAAAAAAAAATCAAGAGGAAAGCATGAACAAAACCTTTCACAGACTTTGTATTTTCAATCTCTATTATTGCACATGATTGTTTTCCTAAACTTTGCCAATAGTGCTTTAAAATAACTGGGTCTAAGGTGAGCATCCAGATGGTGAAAACTACCACAGAACTGGACAAGAGTAATTGGAAACAATCCTGTTCTGGATTTCCTTTTACATTTGTAATGCAAAATTTAGGAAAACACATTTTAAATTTGTTCTGACCCATTCTTGCTTTGTCTCCTCATAGGCAAAGTCAAATATACACAAGAAAAATACATGTCATGTTTCAGAATAATCTTCATCCAACACATATTGCTATTATTAACCCTCTTTTGTGCCTGACGGAGCAGGCAGAATTGGTCCATTTGTACCAGAGTCCCTGTTCATCTAAGTCAGGGTTACGATTTGTCCTTAGTCGCATAAAATGTTGTTTAATTGTTCATAATATGCCTACATTTCCTTTTTTACCCCCACAGCCCTGGTTTATTTATCTATAAAAAATGGGATACCACCACGCTCAACACAAACAAATTATCTGCTGCTTGCTCCCTCTTTCTGTGTCATAATGCAAACGCAGCTATTGCACTTGTCAAGGCAGTAGTACTGTACAGAAGTGGCCCTTAAACTGGTTGAGTTTCAGTGATACTTAGGAACTACCAGAGAAGATTTGGCTGAAGACTGGCTAAAGCCAGCAAAGCACTCTACAACTAGGGCTGAAATGTAACACAGCCTGGATCAACACTCACCCACGGTAAGTTGTGATAGGGACCATATCTTGCCTCAGCAACAGCGATCTGTTTTGCGTAAGAAAAACATGCAAATAACCTTTTCTTAAGGTTACTTAAGGTTACATGCAATAGCTCTTTGCATGCCACCATTAAGAAAACGTTATTTGCATGTTTTTCTTATGCAAGACACAGAGCAGACAACCTACTTGGTTTTGACATGACTCCCTTGCACTCTGTGCTTTTATGCTATTTTTACATGGAAGTTCTTAAAACGCAGAAAAGAGGAAATCTGTGCAGAGTTCATTGATTTATGAACCAAAATGTCATAAATTCCTTGTTTGTTAACCACAGACAGAACAAAAAATATTTCCTGTATGGTATTTCTAACAACTTTTTTTACATGTTGCCAAGTTACTGGAAATTCAAATGCAGAGTGAAAACATCATTTTGTGTATGTGTGAAAGTTTACATTCTAGGTCAGCCATATGCTCTGATTTTTAGAGTTTGTGAAAAACAAAACACGTCAATGTACCATTCAGACTTGAGACCAATTATTCATCCATGTAAGCCTGAGGATGGCCTGCAGACTAGAAATACAATTCTATTTGGTTGTCTCCTGACTGGCTTCAAGGTGTCAAGTCCACTACAGAATAGCTTCCAGCCTGTGAGTAAGGCAGGGATGAGTAAAATGGGTTATGTTATATGTAACAGAACTACAAAACCTCTAGCTTTCTGTAAATACATCTGATTTTGCAAGTGTTTTGCTCTGAAAGACATGTAGTAACACATCCATGACTTTATGGTCCTGTAAAGCATTGCCTCCTGCAATTCCATGGCTAAACACCAAATTACACAATTCTAAAATGCAGAGTGATATTCTTTATGACAGGAAGAGCTGTGGCAGGTTTTCTGCTACAGCTGAGCAGTACCAGTCCACCTCGACAGGACAACCTCTGTTGGTTATCCTTTCTAATGTTCTCATAGAAAGAGCAAAGCAAGTCCTCCAAACAATCCATCTTAACTTAGTTCTAAATGCTTAAGCAAATATAATGATGATAAAAAGTGGCTCCATAGGCATCCTCACTGAGCTGAAGTCCTCAGAATCTGACTTATCAGTCAGTACAAAGGCAAAACAGCTGTCTTCTGTATTGATTGGCTATGTCTTTCCTAATCAAAATGTGGAATTAGTTGAGATACGTGGCTCATTTCACCTTTAGTCTCCTCAGAAGGACAGCCAAAAGCATAGTAATTCACAGAATCACAGAATGTTAGAAGTTGGAAGGGACCTCAAAAGATCATCCAGTCCAACCCCCCTGCCAGAGCAGGATCACCTAGACCAGGTCACACAGGAACACATCCAGGCGGGTTTTGAATGTCTCCAGAGGAGACTCCACAACCTCTCTGGGCAGCCTGGTCCAGTGCTCTGTCACCCTCACACTGAAAAGGTTTTTCCTCATGTTCACAGGGAACCTACTATTCTCCAGCTTGCTCCCATTTCCCCATGTCCTAGCACTGGCTATCACAGAGAAGAGCCTGGCTCCTTCCTCTTGACACTGACTCTTTACAAATTTATAAACACTGATGAGGTCACCCTTCAGTCTCCTCTTCTCCAAGCTAAAGAGACCCAGCTCCCTCAGCCACTCCTCATAAGGGAGATGCTCCACTCCCTCAATCATCTTTGTGGCCCTGCACTGGACTCTTTCAAGCAGTTCCCTGTCCTTCTTGAACTGAGGGGCCCAGAACTGAACACAATATTCCAAATGCGGTCTCACCAGGGCAGAGTGGGGTTGTTCTTTCCCAGATGCAGTACCCTACAATTGTCCTTGTTGTATTTCATTAAATTTCTCCCTGCCCAACTCTCCAGCCTGTCCAGGTCTCACTGGATGGCAGCACAGCCTTCTGGAGTGTCAGCCACTCCTCCCAGTTTTGTGTCGTCAGCAAACTTACTGAGGGTCCACTGTTCCCTTGTCCAGGTCATTGCTGAATATATTGAATAGTACTGGTTCCAGTACTGACCCCTGGGGGACTCCACTAGACACAGGCCTCCAACTGGACTCTCTCCCATTGACCACAGCTCTCTGACTTCTTTCCTTCAACCAGTTCACAATCCACCTCACTACCCAATCATCCAGACCACACTTCCTCAGCTGAGCTGTGAGGATGCTATAGGAGACGGTGTCAAATGCTTTACTGAAGTCAAGATAGACCACATTCACTGCTCTACCATCATCTGTCTACCTCGTTATGTCCTCATGAAAGGCTGTCGGGTTGGTCAAATATGACTTGCCCTTGGTAAAACCACGCTGACTGCTCCTAATGACCTCCTTATCCTTGGTATGCCTGGAGACAGTGCCAAGGATAAGTTGTTTCATCACCTTTCCAAGGATGAAGGTGAGGCTGACCGGTCTGTAGTTACCTGGGTCCTACTTGCCCTTTTTGAAGACTGGAGTGATATTTGCTTTCCTCCAGTCCTCAGGCGCCTCTCCTGTTGTCCACAACTTACCAAAGATGATGGAGAGTGGCCTAACAATGACTTCCGCCAGCTCCCTCAGCACCTGTGGGTGCATTCCATCAGGGCCCATGGATTTATGGATACTCAGATTACTTAATCAATCCCTAACCCAGACTTCACCAACCAAGGCTAACTCCTCCTGTATCCTGACTTCCTCTGGGGCCTCAGGGGTCTGGGGCTTTTATAAGGACAGTCTCCAGCAGTGCAGACAGAGACAAAGAAGGCATTCAGTAATTCCGCCTTCTTAGTATCCTCCGTCACCAGGGTACCCACCTCATTCAGCAGTGAGTCTACATTGCCTCTAGCATTAGTTTTGTCTGCAATGTACTTGAAGAAGTCCTTTCTGTTGTACTTGACCTCCCAGAGTTGTGATCCTGCTTGGTATTCTGTTCCTACCACACAAGAACCTGAACTCCACCATCTCATGGTTGCTGCAGCCAAGGTTGTCCTCAACCTTCACCACTTCAACCAGTCCCTCCTTATTAGCGAGTATAAGATCCAGCAGTGCTCCTCTCCTAGTAGTCTCATCCACCATTTGCATCAAGAAGTTATCATCCTGTGCTTGTGAGGCTACTCTCAGCTACCTGTAGGAAGCCTCGTCAACCTCCTCATCCTGATCAGGTGGCCTGTAACAGACATCCACAACACTATCTCCCATGCTAGCCTATCCCTTAATTCTTACCCGCAAATGCGCAAATCGCTCCTCATCCGCCCCTGTACAGAACTCAATACATTCTAGTTGCTCCCTCATGTAAAGGGCAACTCCACCACCTCGCCTTGTTGGCCTGTCTTTCCTTAAAAGGACATAGCCATACATGACCACATTCCAGTCATATGAGCTGTCCCACCATGTCTCTATATGTCACCAGATCATAAGCCCTTGTCTACACACAGATTTCTAACTCCTCCTGTTTATTGCCCATACTGTGTGCATTGGTGTACAGGCATTTCAGGGAGTGAGCTGAGCATGCTGATTTCACCCTAGAGGGGTGGGAGTGAGGGAGTTTCCACCTCCTCTTGTTCATTGCCCATACTGCGTGCATTAGCCTAGATGCATGTGAGTTGGGTTATTTATTTCACCCCCTTGTTCATCTCTAGTGAGCCTGGTATTAC